AACAATACACAAGAGTTTCAGGAAGTAAAACATGAATATACGCTATTAAATAATATGTTAATAAGTAAAAATTTGCTAAATTGATATGATGATTTGAAATTGCACAAACTGAAATTTAGTTTGGTGTTTTAAAGAGAACATACGTTATGCATCTGAAGAAAGTACAAAACAGGGATTCTCTGTGACAAAACTGTAAACCTCCATTCCCATATAAGAAGGTAGAGGACCTTTGCCTGTTCCTTTTGGCCGCTTATTTTTTATTAGCGTTTCAAACGCTTCATAATGACACCAAGCCACTTTTATCTTAATCCAGTACAATACGCGCCTCTTATTGTGATCACGTTTGCTCACGACTATTTTGATATTATTAACTGAATCACAACATTAAATGAAGAGAAAAAAATATCCTTCAAAACAGAAAAGGAATTTAACTACAAAAGGTATTTACTCTCTTTCGAGGCCATGATTTCATAACAGAAGAGGTTTTCCATCGAGGTTTGTTTGCACTTAGAAAGAGTTCTTTCCGAGAGAATAAAGGCGTAACTTTACATAGGTGAATGTCAAGGGACTTCACAGAAATGCGTTGTACCTTTCGAAGTATGACTTGTTGCTTTGTCTTGAAGAAGTTTCACGCTTACTTCGTACTTTATTATAGAACCCGTCTGTACTTTATTATAGATATAACTAGAAGAATATAAATAGCATTTTAATTAGGAAAATGCAAAAGTTTGTTTTTGAAGTCTTCATAATGTTTTCTAAAGCAGTTCATTTACGAATGCTTCGTTACAATTCTGGAAATTATTTGACCGATGGTGTATTTCTAATCTTAATATTCGGAAGACATCCCTCAATAGAAGAGAACATGCCCATATTAAATTTTAAATCAGCCAAAATGTAACCTTGGTTTCGCGTAGACGTTTTTATGAATAATTTTTCAAGGAAAAAAACATTCTGAAATATTTTTTCAAGGGGAAAGATATTATAATTTTTGCCTCTGAAGAAGCAAGTCTTGGGTATGATCGCTCTCAAGATTGATAGAGTTGTTCAAAGCCTATGCCACAAGTTTGCTTTTGTCTAATTTTAAATGATTACAATAATCTGTTTGGCGACTAAATATCTCACTTGGCGATATTTCTTTGTCGCTTGGCAATTTTATAATATTAATAAGATTAAAAAATTTTATTTGGCCAATTTATCTTTTATTTGGCGACTTGACTTTGGTCTAAAATTTTATTGTATAATGGTGTGATCATATTAACCGAACTGTTCATTAAAACAAGCGATGCATTTTTCATGTTTTCGTGTACAGATGGGCGAAAATCGCCAAACTGATAACAATATCCGAATGGTAACATTAAAACTGCAGTCACATTAAGTGGCGTCTATTCTACTTCTTCCTTCGTGGAATTCGGTTAATTGGTTAACTTTGTCTTCTGAAGGGTCACGTGTTCCTCACTAACAGCAAAAACGTAACTTACATTATTAGCATAGTATTTGGAGATTTGCTTGATTTTTCTATGATTTTCTATGATTTTATATGTTCCTGTCGTTCAGTTTGGAATCCCATCCATTCGCATCCACCACTACAGAAAATTGTGTCTTATACACTGGCCAAGAGGTCTTCCCATTATACTTGGATAACTTCAGAGAGGGACGAGCAGGCATGGGTAAAAATTTAATACCATCATAATTGCGTCCTGCTGTCACTATGCATCTATGGTGTCGCCTTCTTTGACGACGGCAGTAGAAACTCTGTTTTCAATTTGTTGCTCGATTTGTTCTTGGACGGTAGAAATTCTTTCTTCAATTTGTTTCTCCACTGCAGAAAGTCTTTCTTGAATTTCTCCAACTTTGTCTTCAACTGTGTCTATTCTACCTTCCATAATCTCGAATTTAATTTCTATTATACAGGTAATTTCTCCTTTCATTTCCTCTCGACCTGCTTCAATCTTTCCTTGTAGCGCTTTCAAATCTTCTTTAAAAGTTACCTGACCTTCCTTAAATGCTACTTCTAACTCATTTGCATTCACTGCGATTCTAAAAACTCATTCTGGTAGGGAGTTGCAAGTTGAAACGAGGAACAATAGGAAAGCATAATTAAATCAAAATAACTTTTATAAAATTAAAATATACCTTACAACCTAAAAAAGGAAAATAGTCAGCGAAAATAGCTACCTCCGAAGTAGCTGTCAAGACGAAATTCGTTCTTAAAAAGATATTTTTCTCTTCATGTGCTTCTTGTATAAATCGATGCATGACATTTTTACATTTATGACACAGTAACTGCATTTCTTTAGGGTGCCAGTGATAAAAGTGTGCATACTCTAACAATACACAAGAGTTTAGGAACAAGTTACACAAGAGCATAGGAATCAAGCGAGACATCTTTGCTTTAACGGAATCTTGGGCTCTTTCATCTTTTCTTGCCACGCTTTCATTTCTTTTTTAACGGAGTTGATGGCCCCTTCCATCTTTTCTTGGAAGGCAGCAAATACAGTTAATTGTTCTTCCATAGCTCTTGTTATTGGCATTCAATCCCACTTCTGACACCAAAAATTGTTGCGTGCGTTCGCGTTCGTAACATATTGAATGCACAAGTCCGATAAAAAATTAATAAAATTTACTCTTTTCACAAGAAATATAGCAAAACGCTGGATTTTTCCTCAAAGATATTTGTACAATATCACAATATCACACAGTATAATCAGCAGCTATATTTTAAACTACTAAAACGTTAAGTAGAACGTAATCCACAGCGCAGAGAAAGCTAATCCGATGAGCGATAATAACAACAACAACTCACTAGACAACTGAGCTGAGATGGCTCTCTCCGGCTTTTTAAAGCTTTTTAATCGGTCGCGAGAAATTTCTGGTAATTTCTGTTTTCTCGAGGTTTCTGGGACGCAAACGTGTAGAATTACGGTTATAGCTAACATAGTAGTCAATTACATTTATTCAAATTAAATATAAATTACTGAGATAAACTTTCATTCAAGGTTAAAGGAACGTGCTCCTGTGTTTTACATTTTCGGCGTAGCTTTCTCTAAAATACGTCTTGTGCTGCATTGCACTAGGATATAAAACAATATTAATCATAATTCTACTAAAAATAGCTAACTAAATACAAAATCCGTAACAATATGCAGCATATTTCTATGCTCAGTGCAAGCTTTTATTTTTCCCACTCTTAGTACCAACAGTGTGTTAGGCTTTATATAAGATTTAGAAGTTGCCCACAAATTATAGCATAGGAATCAAGCGAGATATTTTCGAGGATCACAGCATGCCGAAGGCAATGCATTTCGCCCTCCCCCCGACACAAATTTATTTTCTATTTAATGTAAAGCCAGACATGCGAAAAAGTTTAAAAAAATTGAGTGCGAACCTTACTCTCTTTTTTCCCCCCATAGGTTCTGGATTTGACCACGTACTGAAGCAAACAGTGCAGACCGTCTTGTCTACGAGTGAATGTGACCACGATACCACTCATCAGATATGCGTTAATCATCAAAACTACTTTAACTCTCCTTGCCATGTATGTATTTATTTTTTAATGCACTACGGTGAAATTTTTGGGAATTTTATATGTCACCATATAAGACTAGTTGTTTTAATATGGGATATTTGCTCACAATAGAACATATATTTCGATTAAACTGTATCTGATATCAAAATGAATTCGAAATTAACTCAGAGCTTTGTTGCAAACAAAATAATAAAGTGTTGAGGATTGGAATTTAAAGCTGTAAGTACGTACAGTCACAAACTTAGATATATGTAAAATATTGTTCTAACATAGGTATTTTGACACAAAATAGGAGCTCTTTTGAAATACCTTACCAAGTTTTTCCAAATTTCAATCCTACGACTCAAGTTATGCCAAAAAATCAAGTTTTGTAAAAATCGCAATTTTTAGAACATTAGCTCTCAATTTTAGCTCCACAGTTTTAATCGAATTTGATATATATTTATGTGGTATTTGTAAGTGCGACACAACCACCAGAGGGCCTCACCGATGCGCCAGCAGCGAGGTGAAAGAGGAGTATGACAGAGACTTTCTTCTGCTATCCCACGCGGAGGTGGTCAGATGTCTGTCTACACGTGAAGGTGTAGAATAAGGAACTGAAGTTTTCCACGCGAAGGTGGTAAATTGACTGTATAATGCATCAGCAAGTGCGAGTAGGCACTAATCGGTTGAGTGATAAGACTGGCAAAAGCTACAGAATCCTGTTTGGATCAAACGGCACTTGTATTTAATTCAATTTGTACCTTCTTCTGATTTTCTTTATTAAATGTTCTGTGGTGTGTAAAACACTTTGGAATTGTTATTTAGCATCTTCAACTCCCCCACTACATTTATTAATATGTCTTTTTTATTAAGCTTACTTGATTCCTTCATACACAGTTCGAAATTTAGTTTTAATCGAAATAAAATTCGCAGATATTCTCTGATTTATTTTTTAAATTTTAATTTTTTAGTAATTTTTGTAAATTTTTCGAAATAATTTTTGAATTATAAGCTATACGATTTTTACACAACCTTTAAATAGATGTACTTCTAGGCATATCTGCAAAAACATTAGAGATAATCAAATTTATAGTATATTGACGCGTTTTGAAATTTGGCATATTTGTTATAAGCGAAAATAACGCCGAATGTGGTTGACGAACTTTGCTGAAATTATTTGAAAGTATGAACGATGAACATTTTTGTTCTCTCCTGCGCAGTAAAAAGGAAAAAAAAAATAGGTTACTATAAATTAAAAATTTTGCCAAGTGAATTAACTATTCTTGGTGCAAACTGAAAAAAAGTGCAACAATATAAGTTTTTAAATTTCTCGGTAAGATTTTCGCCAAATTTTGCAAAATTTAATATCTAGGCATAATTTGAGTCATAGAATGAAAGTATGGAAAAAAAAAAAAAAAAAAGTTGTCATTTCAGAAAAAGTCCGATTTAATACTTACGTTGAAACAATTTTCTATATATAAATCTAATATATATCCTAAGTCGCCCTTTCAAGACATAAAAAGCGGAATTTAAATTTCGTTAGTCGGCTCAGTAGAACGGGAGATAAAGAACTGTCCCTCTTTTTTTTTTGCAAAGTCTACGTCGCAAATTTGATTCGAAAAAGAGTCATTTCATAAATATTTCGAAATAATTAAAAATTGCAATGTGAACTATTCTGATAAATATTAAAAGAAAAAAATCTGATGTAACATCAAGGATTATATGCAATTAGAAGCAACAAAAATCATGCTTAAAGGGATTTTTAAGACTTTTTTTTTTTTTTTTTTTTTGTAAAATAGGTCTTTAAAACTGAGAGAGATTTATTTTTGAACGGTAATTCTAGCCTTACTGATCGCGATTAAATTACGTTGGAATAAGGACATTTAATATTTGAAACATACTAATCCGGCAGTTGTGAAAGATTTAATAGCACCTTGAAAATAAACAGACTTGATATAGTAGCAGGCTGTTCTAGACTGAAATGTGTTGTACATCATGTGTAAAACATGAAACATTATTTCAAACTTCATTTCAGAGTTGGGTGGAGGGAGGCGAATGGAACTATGGGATCGCTCTCTACACTGAAATGTTTCAAACAAAATCCGGAAAGCTGGGCAAAATTTTTCTGTCAGCGCAAGTATCCAAGTTCTTTAAACAACAGATGCTTAGTCATAACTGCAACCGTAATTATCCACGAGAGTATTCCAGCGGACGTATGACGTGCGAAATTAACTTTAACTGAGTATTTAACTAACGGAGTTAACATCAGAGTTATTTGAAAGAACTGAAAAGTCTCCTTGCAGCTATTAAATGTCAACATAAACACAAGATAAAACCGAATAACTATTTATTGATCCATTCCTGATGGTTTTACAAACTAGAAGGCTAACGCAATTACATTGACTAGCTCATCTTTTCACAAAAACATAAAATGAGGCGACATGCCCTTGTTGCAAAGATTGAAATTATTTATGTAAAATCATAAACTCTAAACCACAACACTTTGTAGGTTACTTTATCACTAAATTGGGAAAACATCGACCAAAGCTTAGCGATTAATTAACTTTAACCGTCACAAACACAGCAGGATACTCAAGCAGACGTACCAGCGACGTGGTGCAAGTTCTGATAGTCTTACCATAAAGGTTAACCCCCCAGTTTTAAACTATGCTGCTTGTTCTCATATTTGCGTATAATTCTGGTGAGTGGATATTATGAGAAGAACGAAGAAGGATGGGATAGCGTTTAAGTGAAATCTAGTAAAATTGAATATTTTCTAAAATTAAGTATCTAATTTTAGAAAATTTAGATTTCGAATTAATACTGCTGTTTTAACTAATTCGATTCATTATTGTTGTTGTTGTTGCTCACTTGTCTGACCTATAATCAGCCCAAGCCGATGAAATTCCTCGTGGCAAGGAGCGCAAGTTTACGCTTGTCGTTGGCAACAGCTTTGAGCGCCTTAAGGTGACAGTGCGATTTAGCTCAGTTTCGCCCCAATTTTCATGAAGAGCGCCCCGGGGCGGGACGGGTGCGAGGATCTCTCATCCCTCTCCCATTAATAATAAATGCATACATATATTATGTGTTAATGTAATGTATGTGTTCAGTTTTTAAAAACTGAACCTTATTTTATCTTTTCTATAGATGGCGTTGCCCTCGCGCCAGATGTTTAACTCGTAACGTTTTTTTAAATTTTGCCGTGTGTTTGTGGCAACAGATTAAATAAAACCAAACGACTAGCATTCGATGCTAAGAAAGAATGAACTCATTGTAAACAATTCTAACTGCTGATAAAGTCAAAATCTTATTCAATTCTTTGAGTCTTTTCACTGTGTCAAATTCAAGTATTTCAAGGTAACTATAAGTCGATGAAAATTCAAGGTAAGCTATTTAATAATTATTGATTATTGAACTTACCAACAAACATTATGTTTGAATGTATTATTAATGTATATAGTTATAAGCTGCATAATGTGCACTGGTACAGCTCTGCAATATGTCTGTAGAGTTTACCAAATTTTAGTATTGTATGTATTAATATATTGAGCATGCTATTAATGTGTAATGTATTATGTATAATGCATTGCTATATCGAATGCACTTTTTATGTTATGTATGTATGTGTCAATGTAATGGACTTATGCATGTTATTAATGTATAATGTATATAGTTATAAGTTGCATAATGCTCGCTGGTATTGCTCTCCAAAATGTCTGTAGTTTAAGTACTTTTATTATTGTATATTTTAATACATCGAGTGCACTTTTAATGTATAATGTATTAATATCTCAAATGCACCTTTTATATTATCTATGTATTAATGTATTGTATGTATGCATGTAATATTAATGTTATTTATAGTTATAGGTTATAACAATGCGCATTGATACCGCTCTGCAATGTCTGTGTAGAATTCAGGAAATATTATTAATTGTATGTATTAATTTATCGTCTCTGCGTCGACTATTATAATAGTGCACTATTAATGTATAATTTAAAACGATGTAATACTACTGTGGCAATTCAACATAGTAACACCACTTTTTGATGTAAGTATCTTTATATATTGTATAATAAGCATTGGTATTGTAGGAATACGCAATACGCCTGTCTCCCACCATCCGCCCCTGTTTGCAATATTCTTTTTCTGGACAGTTGCGGGATTCGGACGATACCCGAATAGTCAGTGTAAGAAGCCCGGGTGTCCGGATCCTGCTCTCACCTGTCATCTATCCCCACTCTCCCCTTCCACCAGCCACACGAGAGGACTTTCGGCTCGCCGCATACGTGGAGTGCCGCCATGCGGCTACGACACTATACATTTACAAACATCCGTGCCATCTCCGGGATTCGAGCTCTGGCCTTTCGGCACGGCAGTCAACGACGCTAACCACTATACCGGTTGGGCGTGTGTGTATGTGATTATGGCAAAGCTTCAAGGGCCATCTGCCTAAAGGGAGAGATGCCTTCGTGGAGGAATTTCTAAGAGAAACTGGCTCATATATACATTACACACGGGGAAACCACGAAAACGCCCATGCAGTCGGGGCTTCGAACCTCGGACCGAACTACCAGTGTTCAGCGACTTTAGCGCTCGGCCGCTGGTTGGCCCATACCGGTTGGGTGGCATTAAGTTATATAACTGAGTATTATAACAGAGGATACGCGAGAACAGTAACCGAGAAAAGCGGAAATAGAAATACTGAACGATAAAATTATTTCGAAACAAATTGCGTTTTGCGAATAAATGTATGCATTGTAGCATAAAGTGGAATTCCGTCAAATGTGAATTCTATGTTTTTCTTTTAGGGTGACAGTGGAGGACCACTGGCCTGCATGTTGGGGCCCAGATGGTATGTTATGGGAGACACAAGCTATGCTACGGCGAGCAATTTTATGGGTGGACTCTGTGCTATGCCTCAGAATAAAGTTATTTTCAGTAAGGTGTCCGATAAAGTAGATTGGATCAAAGTGATGGTGGAGAAGTATAGCTAGCTTCCAAATGCTGATAAATATGAAAAGATTGTGAGATTGCCTGTTTTGGTTTTTACTAAAATATAGCCAATAAATTATTCGGTATAGTGTTTTGAGTTCTTGCTTTTTAAAAAACCTAAAATTATTATTACTGCCAGCTGCGCAGCAAGTAACTTAATATCCTATCGCTGGTAACTTACGCCTACTTAATTCCATCGAAATATACTCTATGAAATCTTTTCTTATGGAGAATCTTTTTACGGGAATCATCCTCTTCAGTTTGCATGCGGAATACTTTAGTTTCCAGAAGCGTCCAGCGTAAAACAATGAACTTTAATCCCGAAAATAGTAACAGGTGCTTTTAAATTTTACAGCCCGGTTCACTGCTTTGCAATTCAATCTTGCTTTTACAGCAGTGATTATTTGCGAAGATTTTTTACAATCTCTTATATAAATGACTAGCGGAAGTACCCGATGCCAATTAACTTAGATTGAAAGTAATTATCTAACAACAGAGATAACGATACCGCTAGTAATCCTTCTCTAATAGCGATGCAAAAAATACGATTCATAGTCATACACTTTTCAGTCTGATGCGATATGGAACCCACATAAAAAATTTGCATAGAAAAATAAGCTAATTCTCGCTCATTATATCAGCAAAAATGGCATGCAGTTTTTAATGATTTTCGTCTTTCTGATGAAATGGTCGTAAAAGCTTAAGTTCCAAGCAATATTTCACCTTAGTCGATCAAATGTGGCAAAAAATGGATCATAATTGATCAGAAATCAATAACGCGAACAAATATTAAACACTCAAACAGACATCCTTCTTTATATTATTATATAGAGAGAGATTTTGTAAAATTCACAAATTTTTGATTAGCAAACTCTACGATTTGAAAGCGAGCAGTAGCAACGAAAGCATTTTTATCTCCAACGGCGCGAGACTGTTGCCACTCAGAGAAATGAGTGCGAAAATCATCGCTTTCGGGGTTTTTAATTAATATTTCGGTTGATTAAAGTCGTGCGAAGATGAAAACATTCGAAATGGCTACCCACGAAAATTGGGAGGAATGTATTTAATATTTGACTGTGCTATTTTTATTTCATTGTAAGACTTCGATTTTATTATTAAGAAACTCTACGATTTGAAAACGAGCAGTGGCAACACTTCTCGAATTAAAGCAGCTTTTTATCTCCAACGTGCGGGACTCTTGCCACTCGGGAAAATGAGGGTGAAAATTAGCGTTTTCAGCGTTTTTAATTAATATCTCTATTTTAACTACTTTATTTTGTAAAAAAAAAGGAAGTTGATTTTTCCCAGGACCCAGAAAAGAATTGTAGAAAGTTTGGTGACGAAAGCTGTAGTTAATCGCGAACAAGCAAACACACAAACATACATTCTCTTTTATATATATAGATAATGATAATTAACAGAGTTATTTATCAAAATATGATAGGATGCAGGTAAGTTATTTATGCAACCCGAATGGAAAACGACTGTGTAAAACAGTTATGCAAGTAAAGTTTTTTAAAATAATTAGGTAGTACTTTGAAAGTAAAAGTCAATCTTCCACGAATTTTACAGAGAGGACCGTATGCATACTTTCTCACGAAAAAATTGCAGACCTTTTTGAAATACATCTTTATGGAATAATTTTACTTTTTAGATTAGAAATCTAGCTAATGTTTCGATGCAAAGCTTTATATAACTTTCCAAGCTTTCTTTAATAGTGAATTTCTAAGTAAATATAGTTCGAACGCATTTTCCATGAGATCCATGAGAAGAGCAAGGTTTTTAAACAAGGTCTTGTTTATCTATCCAAAATGCGGCAAGACCCCCAACCATAGCCGAGTGTTTAGATCGCTGAATACTAGTAGTTTGACCTGGTTCAAACCTAGGAGAACGGACCACATTCAGGGTTGGTTTTCGAGATTTTTTCCGCGTGTAACATGACTAGGAGCCAGCTTCCCTCAGAAAGTCTTCCGCGAAGGCATCTTTCTTTTGGCACATAATCCTCGTGGCTTTGCCGTATTCAAATAACCTAACCTAACTAAAAGATGCAGAATGAAAATGATTAATTCGCTGGTAGTTTATATCGAGCAATACTGTTGAACAATGTTGCCAGATCATGAGAATTTTTCTCAAATGTATTACTTTTGACAAATCTGTGTTGCTAAAATTTACGTATTTGTGATTTTTGGAATCTTCTGCTACTCGATCATTTCCTTCTACTACTTTTCGTTACCTTAAACAAATTTTAAACATAAAAAATGCGAACATGATTATATAATGCACCTCTTAAAATTCATTTATAATTAAAAGTAGTAATTCATTGACAACTGCCAATCCTGCAATCGTAGCCCATGAGCACTCAGTTTTTAACACATTATTGTTATTTTTACGCGTTACGCCCTAAGGCACTACATGGAAAGGAAGTATGCCTTCGTGGAGGACTTTCTAAGGGAAACTGGCTCGTATTAACACGTTGCACATGGGAAAACCACGAAAACGCCCATGCAGCCAGCCAGTTCTCGAGATTCAAACCTCGAACCGAACTATCAGTGTTCAGGTACTTTACTGCTCGGCCGCTGGTGAACCAGTTTTCAACACATGTCGTTTTTTCACATCTTTAATTGCTTACTTTGTTTGTGAATATGATTCCAAAGCCCGGTTATAGCTGGTGTGTTAGTTAAAATGTGAATTATGAGTAACGTGAAACATTCAGAACGACGTTGCGAAATGCTCGACTTAAAATACCCATGTTTGGGAATTAACAAGAATGAAAACAGGTAAAACAAATCGTTATTTGCAGTTACGTAATTGTGAACTGAGAGCATGTAAAAAAGAAAAAAAAAAAAAACAAACCACCAACTCAAAGAATTAGTTCAACAGTATTAACACCCAAACGTCACAGAGACCCGTTAATGAATATGAACAAATTAGCTATGAAATAATAACCTAAATTAACTGAGAATTAAAAAAAGAGATAGAAATACAAACAATGGAAAGTTAGCAATGTTGGGTTCAAGATTTTCGTCAAAACTACCGTATGCAATTGAAAACGGCCAAACAATCTCCATAAATTACCACACTAGGAGACTGAATTTTCTGATGATGATTTAGAAAAACCAAATAAGTAGAAAAAAATTCCGATCTACACTTCTAAAGACGGTCGTCTTAAATGCCACCAACTTGAATATCAAAATCCTACCATTGAAATTATAAAAGTTTACGAAAAAAATATATATTTCAGACATCAAACCGATGTTGTTCGGGTCTTAAACTTGAAAGTTAAACATCTCATTTGATTAGGAGATTCCGCCGAAAGTAATGTTGGCGGAGATATTGTCAAAACTTAAGACAGTTTTGGGTTTGGTTTAATTGATTACGGTAAAGCATGCGACGGCTATCTGCCTAAGGAGAGGGATGTCTTCGTGGAAGACTTTCTACGAAACCTGGCTCGTATACACGTTATACACTGAGAAATCCACGAAAATGTACATACAGCTAGTCCATGTGGCGGGATTCAAAACTCGAACTGAATTACCAGTGTTTAGCGATTTTATAGCTCAGCAGTTGATGGCAAACTTGCATCAGTCGTATGGTTCGTAACCTAGTTAGATAATAGACAGATATAAATTACTAACATGGCATGTAAAAAAGAATCAAATCACTGACCTCAGTTTTTCACTTTGCATTTGCCATTTTTAATACGCTTTCAAACAAAGTCGCTTTTTTTATGCGACTTTGTTTGAAAACAGATTTATTTGAATACGGCAAAGCCACGAGGGTTATGTGCCGAAAGAGGGATGCCTTCGTGGAAGACTTTCTGAGGGAAGCTAAGATCTTATAACTAACAAATACTCCACTACATGCTTTCCTTTAGAAGACACGCCTCCAAATGTTAATCATTTCCCCAAAATGCGGTGAAAAACGAGAACTAATATCCATCCTTCCTTAAAAAAATTTAACCGGCTTATTATCCCAAAGGGACGATTTGCCCAGAAGGGCTATTAATTTCGTTTTGGCGTTTTGCGTCGGTTCACTGTAAATGTCGGTTCACTTTTCAAATTGTTGCCACCAAATATTAGAGCCCTGCATTATATTTAAAGAAATTAAATAATGAAGAATATGCATAATTGTAGGCATGTTTCTAGCACTGAGATAAAACTACGATACCTAGAACAATCCAATTTTGAATAACGTACCTCTCCACCCAAGCGCGAATTTGGAATTTGTTTTATTATATATTCCACATTTTGTAAAATATTTATGAGTTCTTGATTAATAAAACGATTTCAAAACGAGCAATGGCAACACTGTACGAAAAAAAAAAAAAAAAAAAAAAAAAAAAAAACATTTTTATCTCCAGCGCGCGAGACTGTGTATCGGAAATTTTAAAGATATGCTCATTTTCAAATTATTTCGTGATATTGCTGTTGAACTGAATTGTATGTTTTAAGTGCGAAGAACATGATAGTTAATAAATAAAGGTAAAACGAAAACGTTAAATAAAGCCCCTTTGGACGTAACATAAAATCTGACAACTTTCAGATTTTTTGAGTAGTAATCGGGTTTACTTAAAACCAATACGAATTTCTTGGGACCGTATTGTGTGTTATCATGCTTATCCATTTTTGGCGCTAAATCACATTGCTTGGCGAAAATGTATACGTGCTAAGAGTAAAAGTGCTCTTTAATGGCGTTACTAATATGTTATTTAATTAATTTTTCTGAAATTTTGTTTAAGGGATGTCTCGAATCTTCCAAGGCAAGGTTTCCGACTCCGGTGCTAATGTCCGTAACATACTAAAATATTTGGATTGAGCTTTCTGGTTAGTTAAATGCTGATTGCCGATCTTTTACTATATTAACGAATATTATACAATACACTCCCGATTATCCGCGGAATTGGGTGGCGCGGCAGCCGCGGATAACAAAAATCGCGGATAATCCGAAAAAAAGCTAAAAATGGGTATAGGAAAAGAAAAAAACAGTCATTCCAACTTTGAAAAATCGTTTTATATACAATAAAACATAAAATAAACAGCAGAAAATGTTTAATTATCGCTTAATATTTCAGTATGTCACTCAAAACTAACCT